GGAAAAATGTTAATCTTACAATAGGGAGGACAGATTTGAGCACAGACAGTTTTTCATGAAGGATGCCACGACGCCTCACATTAATGTAAATCAACAATTCCACCTCTGCATTGGCACTGATGCAGAATTAAAAATACGTACTTGTATGCCATCAGGTCACATGGACAGAAAAGATTAGACTTGTCCTAACCTGGCAGCATGATGGTAGCGGAGCAGTGCTCTGGAGAAGCAACAATCTTGCTGACTGCATAAAAGATGAGGCTGGGCAGCCGCGAGATCTCATCAAGCTTTGACCTTCACTTAGGCTGGCTGCATTGTCTTCTGTTCCATTTAGCAGTACTCTTAAAGAGCAAAGAGGCAGACAGTATTTCTATAGATCCAATTATACTCTCGACTAGAAACAAACCAAGGAAGGCAATCTGTAAGTATCAGTCTTCCCATCATATAGAAACACAGGGTTTCTATAAAAATAATTTTACTTACTTCAAAGATTGTGTTCTGGCTTTCCTATCTCATTTGCACTCATGTCTTTGCCTCTTTCTAGTCTCTTTTTTTTCTAATAGCCAGCAGATATGGATGAATCATGTATTATTTGTAATAACAACTCACTAACAACCCTACCCCAAAGAAACAGAAATTGGAGAGCGCAACGTGAGTCTGAAGAGTGGTTTAGCAATTCCTCTCTACCTTGCCACTGCGGGAGGTTTGAGGATTTTGATAATCTCATATTTACCCTGGTCCCTCAGTTCCAATGGCAGAGCTATGAGAGAACATGGTAGGCTGCCGCAGTGCTACCGGGGCTCGACAGTGCAACAGTAGGGAACGGGATGCACTGAGACGGAGACGCTCTGCCAGGACATAGTGTGTGTGGGAAGGGAAAAGCTGGTTTCTCGCCCACCTATGCGTCACGATTCCTACTTCTAGCCAGTTCTGTCTGCCTTCCTATTTGTTCAGTCAAATAATATTCATTATTAAAAATATTACTTTTCCTATCTATGCATATCTATAAACAGCACACATCTGTCTATATGTGAGAAGACACACACACTTCCTCAATTTTCCTACCTTTCGTGCCCTTCTGTTTCCTGTCAGTATTCCTCCCAGACACGCTTGCAAATTGTCAGATGGCAAGTAACACAACTGAACCTAGATGGAGACTAATGTTTTAACAGCAGACAACAATATTTGGGGAAATGGGGAAGAAAAAGAAAGGACAAGCACCAAGAGCTCTTATCTCTGTATGTGTTGTGTAATGTAAGCATCAGCAGAATCTCCTTTATCCCCCCCCTCACCTTGGCAGGAGATAACCAGAGCAAACACCTTTTACATGCTGGTCCGTGTAGTGGTTAGTCCTGAGAAAAAGCATGTTTGTAACTACTGAAATTCTACTTTTCACACAATAGGAAATTTAAACATATGTCTTTTCCTCCAGCGCACATGCAGTTGGTAGGAAGGCAAATTTCCTGAACTTTACACATCAGCCCCGTAGAATAAATCCTTCATTGACCACTGCCACTGAAGAGACTACTTGAAAAATGTCTCGTCAAGGAAATGTTCTCTTAAAGGCCATTATGCTGTTATGAATCAAAATTCCAGATGCTAAACAAATGTCAATTAGCAGTATTAAAAAACCAGATGCCTTGTTCTGAGTGAGTACCACTGCCTGGCGTTTGAAAGGCAAAAAAACCTGCACAGAACATGCTGGAAGCCACTGTCTTATTGAGAAGACAGCTTTTAAATAGCTTTTCTGAAAGGCAAACTTAAAAAGCTGTAAAAGCAACTTATTATGAAAGTCTCAGCATAATTTTCCATCAGCATGGAAGAAGGTTAAGCTGTCCCCTGCCTTAAGCTGCTTTCTGTTAGAAACCCAAGCAGTGAGCAGAAGAGGTATGGCACAGAGTCAGGTCCATGGAAAGAATAACTGAGACAGCACTACACTGCAGCTGCCTATAGCCCTCCAACCTATACTGTAGGTGTCAATGTTTGGAAAAACAAAACTGCAAGTTCTTTTGTTATTAATCTCCTTTACACGTACTATAAATCCCTGTCAAATAAAAATGACCTCACACACACACAAATTTAAAGGCATGATAGGCACCCCTTACATCCTTCATTTGAAGCTCTTCTCAGACCACTGATCTGAGACTTCCACGATGTGCCCAAGTCATGTTACCTACTTCTGAGAGCTGGGAAATTCTTAGTATAAATCAAAGGAAGAAACATGATTCCTCCCCATCTTATCATCCACCTATTAGATGTCTGCCAATCCACAAAGTTAGCAGGGTATTTTATTTCAGTAGTTTTGGCTTGAGCTCATCTGTATTCTTAAGCAATCTGACTTCTAATTGCAGCTTGCTCTTTTAAACAGATCAGAAGTTGGCATGTTTTAAAACAGGGTGATCTCAGCCCCCACCTGCACTGCAACCTGCTAAGGACTAACAGCATACAAATGGGTTATTCAGAGCAAAACCTACAAAGCCAGAAGCCTTGTCCCTATGAGGAAGACAGGAGGGTGCATTATGCTCCTGGGTATACAGGTGGCCAGGCAGACAAAGCAGCATAATACCAGCTACACGTGGCACAAATAGCTCCTAGTTTTTTTGCTGGTTTATGCCCAAGAAAGGCAGCCGTGTACTGCTTCCTGAGCCTATTTGCCAGAGTCCTAAAAGCCCAATACGCTGCCAGAGGAAATGAGAAATATTCTGCAAGGTTTTTGTTTTGAAAGGGAGCATGAGCTAAGAAGTATTAGAAAACTATTAGAGAAACATTAAAACATTACTTAAAAGATAGGATCAACCTTAAAAAAAAAAAACAAAAACTGTACAAAAATGAGGAACAAAGGAAAAAGGAGGCATATAAAATAAACAATACAGATAGTAATCAAACACTTATGATACATAGCTTGCAGTTGTTAAACAAAGACTACAACAATGCATGTATATATCTAAAGGATAGGGCAATTATAGATGAAGACAAAGACGACAGAGAATTTCTTATAAATGAAGATGAGAATAGCTAGGACTTTTGAAGGCTCCTGGAACTGTGTGGACTCTGGGCTCAGCATAAACATCTCAGAACTTGACACAACAGAATATTCCTGTAACAACTTCACATGCAACTAGACCAAGACCCTTTTTTTCCCCCCAAGTACCACCCAGAAAACAGGTCACTGAAGTGATAGAGGATAATTCATAGAATCACAGAATAGCTGAGGTGGGAAGGCACCTCTGGAGGTTGTCCAGTCCAACTCCCCTGCTCAAAGCAGGGTAAACTAGATCAAGATGCTTAGGACCATGCGTCCAGTCTGCTTTCGAATATATCTCCAAGGTTGGAGACTCCACAGCTTCTCCAGGCAACCTGTTCCAGTGTTTGATCACCCTCATGGTGAAAAAGGTTTTTCTTAGGTTTAAATGGAATTTCTTACATTTCAATTTGTGCTCACTGCCTCTTGCCCAGAGAGCCTGGCTGCGTCGCCTTTATTCCCTTCCATCAGGTATTTACACACATTGCTAAGATTTCCCTCTGAGCTTTCTCTTCTCAAGGCTAAGCAATATGTTCTGCTTTAACTGCTACTTCAGGTATTTTTTAAACTAGAGGAAAATGTGATTCATGGTCTTTCAATAGACATTAGAAATTCAAGTTTTGTTCTGACAAAAAAGCCTTTACAAAAGAAATATTCTTCACAATGAGGATAGTCAAACACCATAACAGGTTGTCCAGCAAGACCATGCAACATACATCCTTGGAATTTTTCAACACCTGACTGGAGAATGCCCTGAGCAACCTGATGTAAGTTGAAGAGCTTTGAAGAGGGGCATAGATCAAAGGCTTCTGGAGGTCCCTTCCAATCAAAATTATTCTATGACTCTGAAAAGGGACCAAGCATGGATACCCAGTATATTCACTGCTTCTTTGGTCCCTTTTTCAATTCCAATAATTCACGAGTTTACAGGTTGCTTTAAGCACCATATGTTCTATACACTCTGACCAGCCTTAATCCGTTTATAATTTAAATAGCTCTCATTAAATCCTTGGCTGGTTTTGTATTTTATTTTTAAAATGACACCATGTAGGGTTTAATGAAACCCCAAATTTCACACACATTTGGATCTAAAGTGAGCTAGGAAGTGTGCTTAAAAGGGATGAGTGCTATCTAAAGCAAAGCAAGAATGTTTACACTAAGGTACAGAAATGGCACTCATGTCCACAGAGAATATATAAAACCCCCAGTGTTCACTAGATAATTCTTCTCCTGTTTTTCCCCAGGTTTTAAAGCAGGCAGATTACTTGCCAAAAATAAAACATGATACAAAAATATTTGCAATATTCAAGTTAGATGTTTTAAAAAATGAACAAATATTGTTAAAAAAAATTACTGAGCACCTCATTTTAACTTGAAGCATTTGCCCTCAGTCTAATAATTGACAGGCCTTTGTGGTCCTGGATATACTGACCAAAGACTGACACAAGCAAGAAAATCCGCTCTCTAGCTGAAAAAGTCTCATGCAGACTCACAGCCAACCGAACTCACGACAAAAACTGAAGAGCTAAAGAGCAATTAACACACTTGCAGAAATTTCATCAGCTTCCAAGAAAACTATAAAGCCAATTTCAATTTTCTGTGTACCTCATTGGCGTGAGGGAAAAATAACATGCTGCCATCACCCTAAAGGGACTTTTTTCCTAGTCAAAATTGAATATGTATCGCAATCCCTGGCGGCGACTTCAAAAGTATTTATATAGGTCGCTGCCCACATTAACACTAACGTTTCACTGTTTGCAACTTTAGATCAATCCAATGAAAATAAGCAAGTTACAGATCTACAGAAATCTCATTGATAATACATGACAGTTGATAGTAATACCTCTTAGTCAACTGGAAATATTAAGTAGTCTTGTCTTTTTTTTTTTTTCAGAGCTTAGTTATACATTGTGCTACTTTAACCTCCTCCTCCTATTCAATGAGAAAAATCCCTCCGTTGCAGGAAAGGCACACTTACTGGCACTTTGAAAGGAGAAGTGTTCGAAGCATCCATGGAGTTGGTTTTCTCAGAGGTGCTGGTCCCGGAGATGCTCCGTCTGCGAGGAGATCTCTCTGCTGGGACCTCTAAGGAAGAGAAAAAAAAAGAACGTGAATGGGTGCCAGGGGTGGGGAGTAGTCAGGTTTGATGCTCTACAGGACAGACGCCTCAGCAAAGTTTCAAGTGCATTACTAAACTGCTGAATTACACTCACCTATTTTTCTATATCTTATTTACTTACTAAATTACAATGGCATTTCCACTGACAGATTCAAGGCTGTCAACCTGACTTAACTGTAGGCAATAGGTAATGAAAATAAAAAATGCTGGTAAAGATCAATAGCCAAACACATTTAGCATTCTATTACTGTTCGTGAGATAATATTCAGAGAACTTTCATATTTTTTTTTTAATTTTATTTTTTTACATAAGCAATGCAGTAATTAACAACTAAAATCAAGACACAGGGAAGCTCAGTTTTAGTCACAGCTGAACAGAATTTGACAAAGGTCAAAGTTCGGTCTTATATGATCACACTACTTGCTCAAACCGTGCAACCAGCAGAAGACTCTTAACTGCCCGAGTAATATGACACACATATCTCTGCAGATAAAAAAAATAGGTCAACTTCTCCTCGTTCTGGCAATATGACCTTACTAAGATACGACTTTGGCATCTTAAATCCATGCAGGCTGATCTGACGAACACCAATATTCATAAAAGACGCACTTAGATCTTTTTCTAGTATAGATACTAGAATAATAGCATAATAAAGTACATACACATTAAAAATCTGTACACAAACACACATACACTGTACATATATGCATTTTTAGATACAGCTAGATACACATACATATAGATACAGATACCTTTATCACAACTGCTGCCCATCTCCAGCTCAATTGCCAGACTTAAAGGAATCCAGCTTCACAAAACATCCCCTGACACGGGGAGGGAAAAAAATCACTTCCTAGCAGAAAGTCCATTGTTATCTTCTGAAGCTTAAAGAAAAGGAGTAAGCCGTGACTCCAGACAGTGACATTTTGACTCCTGCCGTTTTCCTTTCAAGAGCCAGATGCAGCTTAAACTTCCATTTCTGGCCACCTGGCCCTGGGGATCCGTGCTACTTCCACTTAAGAGAAAGCTGGGTCTCTCCGTTCCCCCTCCCTTCCTACAGCTTGCAGAGAGCAAGCGAGCAAGTGAAAAAGAAACACACAGGACTGCAGCTATTCAATCAATCGCTCCGACTGCACATCCTCATTAGTTACTTTCAGGCTATTAACAGACGCCCAACTGCCGGCTTCCCTCCGCCACAGAAAATTTCACTGTATATCCTGATTCACAGCAGCAAAAAAGGTTTACAGAGAGAGCAAGCCAGCTGGTGCCACGAGAGGAGTGTTTTCCTCAAAATAACCGAAGAAAAAATGAGAAAAGCCTTCTTCAGGGATAACGTTACTTGTGATGTCTTTGCATAGCAGATTTTATTTCACCAGATTTATAATATGTATCTCCCATGGATGCCTGAAGAACGACAAGATGGAGCATACACCGAACGAGAGGCTAAGAAATCTGGACCCTGCAGTATTAGTGTCTCACGCCATAGATATTCATCTTTTAAAAAACCAAACCGCTAACATTCAGCCTCTCAATCTGCTTGTAACCACCGATGGGGAAAGAACTGCTAAGAGGGAGAACAGCCTCTTAAACTGGGCAAACAAAGTCTAACACACAATGTCGCTACCACTGGAAAATGGGCAGGGCACAGCCACTCGCTGCCGACCATGAGGATGATGCACAAGCCCTGCTCGCGCCGACCAAGTAAATCACAGTCTGTCAAAGCTCGCAATAACTGCGATAGAGCGATACCACTTTGGGGGAGATTTCTCCTTCGTCTGATGAGCGGCATCGGGCACTTCCAGCTAAGGAGGCATCGCCTGTTCCAGTGCTGGAAGGTAAGTCCCTGCCAGGGCACCTTTGGAGAACAAAGCGCTTGGAGCGAAGCCAGTGCTCGACCAAGGTTTTTTAATAACGGTCAGACCCACCGCCTTGGCAGCCTTTGCAGAGGTTGTTAGTTTTATTTGAAGATGCGCTCTTTTATACCGCCAGGTTCCTCCCCCTGCCTCTACGAAGGGAAACTTATTTTCTGCAGCACCTGTAAGTACTGCTCTCCCGGAGAGCACTGTATTACGGAGGGTTTAAATGATTGCTTCTGCTGTTCTCACTGTAAATGTAATGAAAGCAAATGGGAGTGATATATTCACTTGGAACTGGGGACTAAAGCGAGCACCTTTTATTTTACTTCCAATAGTAATGCGTAACGTAATAGGTTTGGCTTTCTCAACTTCTCACACACAGGAAATCACATCAAAGCTGCTTCAGTAATTTAACACAGTCTGTTAACTTTGCTGAGTCATACATGGAAACAGGAGCCTGAATTCCCCACGTTTTTCAACAAGAGGTTCCTGTAGGAGAGGTGGTTTAGGGAAAAGTTTAAGTTTCAACCAAATGGAGTTGAAAAGCTACAAGGGACATGCCTGGCTCCCCTCACCTTCCCTTGTCCCCCCACATCCACTCAGCAGCAATTAAAGTTATCTGCAAATAAAACACTGAGATTCCATCAGTAAAATGAGTTTCTTCCATTCTCAGACCATCACAAAAGTGTACCAAATGGGGAAGGGAAAATGAAATATTCACAAGGTGCCTGCAATGAACTAAAAATAAAACTACCATTCCCTCTCTCATCCTTCCAAAAACCAAGAACAAATAAACAACACACTCAGTCCTGAGGAAAAAGAAGACCTAGATACAGCAAAATTGTCAAGATATGTTAACTGGAAAACAAAAGCTAAAGCAACCTGTTATGATGCCTGTAGAACAGTATTTTTGCTGAGTCGTATAAAAAACCCTATACTGTCACCACCAGGCAAAGAATTAGACAGGTCCCTCCCCTGCTCCACAAGTAATGCTAGAGGCTACTCCTGCATAATCTTCACCTGCTGTAAAAATCAATGCACCTCTCATCGGCTTAGTATTAAATTACAACTGCTTTCTGCATTGCTCACTCTCGTGGGCAAGACTACAGATAAATCACATTGTTTCTAAGGATAAACAATCTGAAACCCTTT